TGGGACACAGCAGAAGCGCCACACCAGTCCCTCAAATGACCCTAAATGAACTTCCTTCCCGTCTGGGTTTGAAAGAGTCCGTGTCTCCTGCACTTCAGAACACAAAGAGCAATTTATCTTCTTTAGACAGCTCTTTGCCCAAAGACATGAGAAATGGGACCCCTTCGTTTCCAGCTTTTAACATTTTTCTATTTTTAGTATAACTTGTTTCCTTTATAAAATTTGAGAGAAAGAACATGGGCTTTGGGGTCAAGACTCCCTGGGGCCAAACTCTGGCTCTGCCACGTTCTCACTGTGTGGGCTTGGACAAGGGACTCAGCCTCTCTGAACTCAGCTTGCTCACTTTTAAAACCGGGTGAGGCCATCCTTTGCGTATTGCCGTGAATTAAGTGAGCCCGTAAAGTGGAGCGCCCCCTGCCGCATCTGCTGGTACACACAGCTGTGATGCTGTGAGGGCCTGCCAACTGCCCCACCATGCAGGTGCATTCGTAGGGTCCCTCACCCCCCAGGGACGTGCAGTGACGCCCCTCAAGGAAGGGGCTTGCTGGATGGTAACTTCCATTTCTATCAGTCACTCCTGCCAGGGGCGCTTGCGTGTGACCTGGGCCTCAGACTGAGACCCTCCCACAGCCTCCTGATGCTGCACATACAGCATTACTGCAACCACGCAGGACTGCAGCTCTTCTCCAGGGAAAGGCAGCATGCACAAGACTCAGCAAGTCATGCAAATGATCAGCAGAATTCCAGGCCTGGAAAGGGGCGGCGGGAGGCCCCTTCTGGCGCAGGGCCGGCTCTGGCCTGGGGCGACATTTGCCCGGGTTCGCAGGCTCCCTGCATCCACCCACAAGCCCGACAGGAAATAGACCCAAAGCATGCCGAGCCTCCGGGCTGTGGAAATGACTAAGCCCGTGCGAATGGAGCCAAGGAGATTGGGTCAAATGTCCCCACAGACCCCACTGCCCGGGGCTCGGGGCCAAATCTTAAAAGCATTTTGCTAAGAGGGAATTCTCGGAATGCCTTCCCTCAGACGCCACCGGAGGAGGCTGCACATTGTAGTCACAGGTCGTGCAGCCCAGGTCATCCGTCGCAGCCCTGCTGGGGCCAGGGCTCCCGCCTCTCAGGGCTGGGGGCAAAACTTGATAATTCAAGCAACAGTTATTTAATAATAACAATAATCCTGCAAACGGCTGCAGGGGTGAAGAAGCTTCTCCACGTTAGAGACAAACTATAAACTTCTAGGACCCTCCTTTCCTCTTCTAGAAACTTCAGATAATTAATTGGAAACTTAATGAAACTTTTTGTATTTAAGTATACATCCCAATTGTTTGTTAAGTGTTTTTTGGAAAAACATAAGAATATCAAGTTCAATGGTAATGAATAATTTCTAGTATTAATAAATATAACTTTATTTATAGATATGTAACATATGACGCTAGACATTTTATTAATTTTTAACAATGTAACATCGTCACAGCACCTCCTGGGTTGGTGGGGGAAGATGTTAGATACTTCCGTCCTGGATGCACACGTAAGGCACCCAGAGATGGGGTGACTGGGTGCAGGGCGCCCAGCAAGCAGTGCTGGTCTACATGAAGAGCGTTTTGGAAACGTTTTTAAAATGGAAAATGGAACAGTGGAGACTTCACTCCTGCGTCCTGTGCTCCAGTCTCACAACCAGTTACTGTAGAATATTCTGAAGAGGAATTTGGAAACATAGTTTCTGCTGTTTAGTCCCTGCCACCGTGGTGACCTGGTCTAAGGTTCAGAGAGCTGCCTTCTGGAGAATTCCAGGCAGGTGGCTGCCTCTGGTGGGTCCTGGAGGTTGATGTGAAGATGGCTTCCCTTGGTCACAGTATGAGAGCCCGGCTTGGGAACAACGGCCGGCACCCGTGGACCCCTCCCCTGCACCCGGCTGCCAGGACCTCCATCCGCCTGCTCACAGAAGCTCGATGTGAATGCATTGGAGGATTCAGAGCACAGTGGTTTCCTTTTAGGAGCGGTTAAAAACAGCAAACTGCGGCAGAGCGTGATGGAACCTGACCCACTGGAAGGTTTGGTGGGCGAGAAGAGTCCTTCCTGGGCAGAGCAGTAGTCTGGCTCCTTGGGCTGAAGGGATATGGGCTGGGGGAGAGAGCAGCGTGCTAGGAGGAGAGAATGTCACCTCATGTGGGAAAATGCTGCTCTTACAGTGGAGCTGAGCCATCCAGTGTCCTCCACGCACTGGAGGAATGGGACCAGGCACGGATGACGCTGGGCCGGGAGCAGAAGTGAAGGGAGCCTGGTCTTTTTCATAGATTTACAAGATGTTTCTGTTCCTCTCGCGTGATGTGGGCAACTACATTTTCCTGTAGGCTGATGTCATTCCCGATGTTCCCTCAATTTGCTTCTACACAGAGGTAATTCAATAACTATATGTTTACATTCCGTTTGTAGAAACTTACAGCAGTGTGACAAATTCCAAACCTGGGGTGGTTGTTAGTTGACAGTCTGTGACAAGCCTCTAAATGGGCCAGTGGGGTGAGCATGCCTCAGAGACATGGCTGAGGAGGAATGAGACTGGTTCCACCAGTCACACGGGGCGGGCTGTCTTGTAACTGCCAATGTGGCCACGGCCAGGGCACATGTGTGCACGTGTGCTCACACTGGACCCGGGAGATGTGGAGCCCTAGGTAGCTAGTTGTCCCTGTTATTCTGGCAAGGGGGCCTCGGGACTTGATTTATTCGACTGTATAGATCTAGCTACAGATCAGAAAATAATTAGGTATTTCCTCCAAATAAAGAGATTTCCGAGAAAAGGAGAGCAATTCGCCGCAACTCTTAAGAGCCGGTGGGCTGAATGGAGAGCTAGTGTTTAATGACTAGGTAACTCATGGAAAGCTGATAGGATCATTCTAGTTCCACGTTCTTATATCAGACCTGCCTAGTAAGGGCTCATTCTCCCCCGCCCCAGCTCCTGTCAATCTGATGTTTTCACCTCCCTGCCAGCTCCTGTTCTGTTCCCCACAAGAACTCTGGGTCCAGCTGCTTCCCAATTTCTTCCTCCTTCTCAAAGGAAATTGGGGCCCTTCGGTGTAAACTCCTTCATCATCCTGCTGCTCCCTGCCCCACAACTTCAAACTCACGCATCCTCTTCTCGTGGCATCCAGCCTCTAAGCAAGAAATATCTTCTCCCCCTCCAACCTCTCCCCCTGCCATGAACTAGGCCTCATGGACCCTTGGGACCACCTTCTAGCTGGTCTCTCTGCCCCCTCCCACTTCCTTCCAACTAGCCTCCACATGCTACTAGGAGTGATATTTGTAAAATTCATTTTTTTCACTCTGTGCTTAAGACAGCTGTTGCTCCTCCTCTTCCATGGCACAATCTATTATCCATAACTTAGGTGCCCCACCTCCTGACCACCTCCAGCTCCTCCTTATACTCTGCCTCAGGGGTACTGAGCTAATGGAGACCTCAGGGCCTTGGCACACACACTTCTTCATATGCCATTACACCAACCACTCCCTTTCCAGCCCAGCACCTCACTCCCGTCTTTAATACTCGGTAACCAGGGCAGAGCCACCACAGCATCCGGGTTCTAGATCTAGCATCTAGATCTCCGGATCTAGCTCCTCATCTCAGATCTGCCAACTAGCCTGTCTTCTTAGCAAACTGTCCTCTGAGCCAGGTCCTAAGGCTACCCGCCCCC